TGGGAAGAGGTGACCCCAAAGGTCCCAGGCGTCCCAAACGCTTGTCTTAAGAAGACATATAGTGGTACTGCAGGGTCAGCACCGGACTACGAACCTCAAGGTCTGCAGTTCAAACCCACCAGTTGCTCCTAGAAACCCTTATGTAGGGTTGCAAGAATTGGAATCCACTCAACGACACTTAACAACAATAACACAGTTGAGTGTAAACAATAAATAATGTGTTCCTTTTCACCTATTATAATCATTAGTTGTGCTAAAAAATCCTTATAAACGTAATTCCCTCATATGAATTGATCACAATTTACTTAGTCATCTCTACCAGTGGTTCTGCGGGAGAAAGATGAGGCTTTCTGCTCCCATAAAGATTTACAGCCTCGGAAACCCTGTACAGGGTCACTATCAGTTGGAACCGACTCCACGGCACATAACAACAACAATAACTGCAGATTCACTTGTGTAGTTTCTTTTGTAATAAACCCCATGGAAGCATAGAGCTTATTTCTCAGAATTTCAGAGATCTGAAAGTAGAATTGAAGAGTCAGGAATATTAGAATTCTTGATACATAATGCAAAATTATGCTGTCAATGCTGAACCAATTTAAACTTCCCCAAATGCTGAAAACTCACATTAAAAGAAACAAACTGCAAACAATTTGATTTTTTCCTCTTTATTTCTTAAATTCATTTGTAAGACTACATTTGGGAGCTCTCCTTTCCTGTCCTTGCCCTAATCCTAACCTACCACCTTCCTTCCTCTGTTACGAACTTCTATGCATTCTTTCTATTTAAGGCTATTTTAAAGACAGGCATCCCTTGCTTTATTGCATTTCTCCGATAATGCGTATTTTAAAAACAGAAGGTTTGTGGAAGCCCTGTATCAAACAAGTCTATCAGCACCATTTTTCTAGAAGCAGGTGTTTACTTCATGTCTCTGTGCCACATGGTGGTAATTCTCACAATAGTTCAAACTTTTTCAGAATGTTATTGCATACCTAGCTGACTACAGTATAATGTAAACATAACTTTTTAGTTCCCTGAGAAGCCATAAAAGCCATGTGACTTGCTATATTGTGATATTCGCTTTATTACTGTTGTCTGGACCCAAACCTGCAATGCCTCCGAGGTCTGCCCATATCATATTTGCGAATATCTTCCCAGTTTCTCCTCATTTGTGTTTATATGGTTCTCTGTTGTGCAGTTTTACATTCTATGTAATCTTATTTATCATCCACTTAAGAAGAACACCAATAATTCCATGGCTAAGTGCTACAGTATTTAAACAGCAACTTGTCAACCTTAAACTTTTTTCTTTGCACAGATCCCTATTAAATGTAAGTCTGGATTTTAAAATCCTGACATGTCCGTTCTGAACACCTTTGTCAGTACACCTCTCAGTCATCATTTTAATGTTGAGAGCTAGCTGTATTTTTCTTTTGTCTGTGTCTACTTTCTTTCCCTTGTTGTAATTTTTCAGCTTTTATTATGAATTGAGTGATAGCTTACATGGGAGAACATCAGGTTTGCACTCATCCTATCACATTTTGTTTCATTGCAATGATTACAATCCCCTCCATTCATCATTATTTAACAGTATTTGCTTGTATTCCCTATGTTTTTTGTTTTGTTTTGATGTACACAAAAACACTCAGGAATATATAATAATTCAAACAACCAAAGGGCACATTCTACAAGCCTGCTTCCTGGCCACCAGCACACAGCCTTTCTCTTCCCATGAGTCTAGAGTCCTCAGATGCTCTATATTTCCAAGTCCTCATCTCTGCCTCCATTTCGGGTGTCGCTGCTTCTCTGGATAGAGTCCCACATTCTGCTCGTGTTCTTCTCCCTTGATGGTCCTACGATCCTCTGGTCCTGGAATGTAAGATTAACTACTTCCTCTTTTATGTTACAAAATTTCTATCTTTACAGTTGTCACAATCGCAAATAATCACAATAACAATTATTCACTTTTGAATTAAAAGAATCCCATCCCCCTCTCCTTTTAGCAGACTCATCTAGACAAGATGAAAACTATTCAGTGGGGATCACTGTGAAACTAAACTCCCTCTTGAAAACTTATAAGCCAGTCACTTCATGCCTTTACAGCCCTAACTCACCCCCATTTTAGATACAATGTCTAAGTTGTCCATTCCTATCAACCAGGTATACCGAGGGGATAGGCTTGATCCTTGCTATGAAAACTCCTCTCTTGGCTGGTATTTTGGGCTACTATATAGGTCAAGTTCATCAAATTGTAGCTATTTACACTTGCTACCTTTATCAAATTTCGTTATGTTCCTCTAGTCGAGCTCTCAGTATGGATTGCATCTCAATATAAAGAAAACAAAAATCCTCACCACTGGACCTTTTATCAATGGAGAAAAGATTGAAGTTGTCCAGCACGTCATTCTTCTTGGATCAACTATCAACACTCATGGAAGCAGCAGTCACAAGAAATCAAAGAACGTATTGCATTAGGCAAATCTGCTGCACAAGACCTCTTTGAAGTGTTGAAGAGCAAAGATGTCAGCTTAAGGACTAAGGTGACCTGACCCAAGCCATGGTATTTTCAATAACTTCATATGCATGTGAAAGCTGGACAGTGAATAAGGGAGACCGTAGAAGAATTGATGCTTTTGAGTTATGGTGTTGGAGGAGAATATTGAAAGTGCCAACAGATCTGTGTTGGAAGAAGTATAGCCAGAGTGCTCCTTGGAGGCCAAAATGGCCAAACTTCATCTCTCATACTTCGGCCATATTGTCAGGAGGGACCTGGAGAAGGATATGTTTGGTTAGGTGGAGGGTCAGAGAAAAAGTAGAAGACCCCCAGAGAGATGGATTGGCAAAATGGCAGCATCAATGGGTTCAAGAGTAGCAACAATTGTGAGGTTGGCCCAGGATCAGGCAGTGTTTCTTTCTGTTGTGCATAGGGTTGCTACGAGTCGGTACTGACTCGATGGTACCTAACAACAACAACAGTCGAGCTCTGGTCATCAAGCCATTGAAGCTAGGTCAAATGAATACTATCTGCAAATTTGGGTGTTCTTGTGCATCTCCCCCTCTTCATATCTGGAGGACACTTCACTCTCAGCTCTAGCCCTCCGTGGCTAAGTCAAAGTCCATAGGCTCAGGAGTTCCCAAGCCTCCCCGACCTTCAGACCAACCAGCCCTTCCTCTTCTCTCTCTCATGTCAGGGTCGACAGGAGTCTAAGGATTGTGGGCAAACTCAGACCATGTCTTCATTACTGACTCTCCTCCACTTCCACTCACATGTAGACCAATGAGGTCAGGAGCAAGCTTACATGCCTGCTTGTGTGTTCCCTTTGAGTTTCAGTCATGGAGGGAGGGTTTGTCCGGAAGGGGCTTGGTTGCTTATCTTGCTAGAGCTACCCAGTGAACAGCTTGCTTTTTCCTGTAATCGGCCAAACAGACTGCTGTGGCTTTGTTGTTGTTGTTTCATGCTGCTCTTTCTTTCAGGAAGTATCTTCTGTCCTTCCAGCCACTCCTGGCTGGTCTGCATGTCCTTTTAAGTAGGAATGTCCCACCTCAGAAGGTTCTGGATGGGGCTTAGGATTCCACCTAAGGTCCTATACACTATAAAGGCTCTGCAAGAGCAAGTTCCAGAACTCCTTTTAGGTATTCTAATGAGTTATAGGGAGTCCTGGTATGGTGCTGTGGGTTAATGCACCAGACTGCAAAACCATTTAAACTGCAAGGTTGGCGGTTCAAACTCATCAGCTGTTCCTTGGAAACCCTATACAGGGTTGCTATGGGTCGGAACCAACTCAATGGCACTTCAGAACAGCGAGTTATAGGCTGAAGACGGGCTTACAAGGTTTCGATATTCACCTTTCCTGATAGTCCTTTCTATCCCACTCCTGTGTCTATTCTACAGTATTAGGCAAAGGAGAGAAATATTCATAAGACAGTCAAGCATCTTAACATTATTTCCCCTCTTACCCATTCAGACTATGCCTTGATCCCTATATCACAGAGCCCTGTTGTTCCAAGGTTGAGCATACATCACTATTTACCTCCATCCCATTTAGCCCATACAAACCTGCCTCAGTGTTTCCTTATTTACCTTGTTCTTCCACACCCCCTCCCCCTTCTTGTGTGTTGACCTTCCCAACACCCAAACTATGATGTGCCTATCCCCTAACCTGTACTCTACTGTCCCCTCCCTGCCACCCTCGGTAACCAACAAATAATTTTTTTTTCTTTCCTTTTAGTATGAGTATTTTTTCTTAAACTTTTACAATAATGGTCTTATGCAATAGTTGTCCTTTTGTGACTAATTTCACTCAGTATAATGGCCTCAAGGTTCATCCATGTTATGCAGTAGTTTGCAGCTTCATTATTATTCTTCAAGGTGGGATAATATTCCTTTGTGTGTATGGACCAAAGTTTGTTTATCCATTCTTCCACTGATGGGCATTTGGGTAGTCTTCATCTTTTTGCTATTGTGAATAGTGCTGCATTACACATTGGTGTGCAAATATCTACCTGTGTTCTGGCTCGTATTTTTTGTGGATATATACCAAGTAGAGGAATTGCTGGATCGTACGGTATTTCTATTTCCAACTTTCTGAGGAAATGCCATTCCATTTTCCAGAGCGGTTGAACCATTTTACATTCCCACCAGCAATGTAGAGAGTCTCAGTCTCTCCACATCCTCACCAGCATTTCTTGTCCTCTGCTTTTTTGAACCTCACTATTATTGCTGGTGTGAGATGACATCTCATTGTTGTTTTGATTTGCATCTCTCTAATAACTAATGATTGTGAACATTTCTTCATATGTTTGCTGGCTGCCCAAATGTCTGTTCATGTCCTGTGCCCAGTTTTTAATTGGCTTATTTGTCTTTTTCTTGTAGTTTCAACCTTAAACTTATGAGTCTCGTTATATTAGGATAATGCTTTTCAATAGCCACAATGCAATGCAAGGTCATCTAATTATTCAAATCTGCATACATTATAAACAAAAGAAAGAATTCTACTTACTGAATCCAAAAAGCAGAGGAAAGCCCCTGAGCTCTGTTTTATTGCTCGATTTTTAGAATATCCAACTGTTAATAAAAAGGAAAGCTATTTTAGAACTCAATTTTTAATAGCAGTCCTGTTCATAACGTTTATATACCACATACAATGAGAAAACTAGGGACATTTTGCACTACCAAGTAGAAAATCAGGTTAGCTTTGTTGTTGTTGTTATTGTTAAATGCCATCAAGTTGGTTCTGACTCACATCGACCCTGTATATGGTTGCTGGTGGGTGTGAACCGTTGACACTGCAGTTAGCAGTCCAGTGCTTATCCTACAGCACCACACCAGGACTTCCAGGGCAACTTTAGAAGGAATAAAAGGGGAGTAAATGAAAAACAACATTCCACATTTAATAATGACCTAAGAAGTAAAATGATAAAATACAAATAGTGTATTCTGGATCAAAGCAGCATAGCTAAAGTAAAACAAACCTGGCAAATACTTCCACGGAGAATATTTTCAAAAATGAAATAGAAATAGAAATGTCCAATGGAAGTGTTTTGGTAACACTAGCAGATGCTTTGGATGGTCTATGACATGTCCGTTTGATACATCATGTAACTGCTCAAAAGTTCAGTGACCTGGGTGCTTGGGTAACTTCTCTGAATATATATCTTAGTCACAAGTTCAGGTTTCTGCCTGTATTTCTGTGCCTACCCTGTGACCCACCAGTTCCATTCCTATGTGTAGACCCAACAGAAATGAGTGCTCATTTCATCAGTGCCCACGGTCAGCCACTCGCTGCAAGGAGACACAGGCACTGTTTACAGAGTGGAAAGCCGCCCCAATTCTCCTGCGCTTAGAAATAGGATGGGTCACCTTGGGGAGGAGGGGTGACAGGAGGTCACCAGGAGACTTCTGGACAGCTGGGGACATTCTGTCTCATCGTCAGGATGCTAGCGTATTCAGTTTGTGAAAATTAATCCAGGTGTGCAATTATAAATGCATTGCACTTTTCTTTATGGATACGATACTCTAATAAGATCCAAAAAAAAAAAAAAGTTATCCGTGCCTTCAAAGGGACTGCAACGCAGTTTTGGAAAAGGCACAGACAATATACCGAATTTAAGTGCCAAAAAAAAAATACTAAAAGTAAGTACTGTGACGTGTAAAAGATGACAAGGTCACTCCAAGGGTAAGTGCACAGGGAACCTGAAGCTGCTAACATTTCAACAGACAGAACCAGGAATATTCCAGAACAATATTCAATGTTGATGTGCAGCAAAGTGTTTGTGGCACAGGAACAGGTTTGGGAAAGTGTACATGAGCTAGTGTAGGCTGGAACTATAAACTAAGACCAGTGCAGTGTACATGCTCAAGTGAACATTTAAGCAGATTAACTGCAATGCTGAGGGCATGGTACCTTAAAGGAAGGCATTCCGGTCCAAAAACTCTGTCCCCAAGCCCATTAGAATAAACAGAGAGGATAAGACAAGAGGTGCAGAAGGAATGTGAGGGGCACAACCCCCAGTGTCTCCAGAACAGCCAGTGCCAACACCTGATCTGTGTTAGACACAGTCATAGATTCAGCAGCACCGAGAAACATGGCACAGAGCAGAACAGATGGGTGTGGAGTGAAACAATCAATCTCTCTGGTATTTTGAGACAAGAGCACCAACCCTAGGCTGTCAGTCCCCAGGGGGCGCCAGGCTCATCCTAACCACATCAGCCCTCCACCTCAAGACCATCTCTGAGAGGGGAAGAGAACAGTCCCACTAGCTAGAGTGCATCCCACTATAATGCTGGGCCAAATTCTCAGCGCATCGACGAGAGAACCCAAGTGACAGGTGGAGGTGAGGACCCCACCAACATGCCACAAAGGGATGGATACAAAACTGTGTCCTCTGTGGGCATCACCCACACACGGTATAGCCCAGCTGACACGTGCTCTGAAGGATGGATACGGTGTAGTGGGCACCACCCACACACGGTATAGCCCAGCTGACACGTTCTCTGAAGGGTGGACAGGGAGCAGTGGGCACCACCCACACATGGTATAGCCCAGCTGACAACGTGCTCTGAAGGGTGGACATGGAGTAGTGGTCACCACCCACACACGGTATAGCCAAGCTGACACGTGCTCTGAAGGATGGACACGGAGCAGTGGGCACCACCCACACACAGTATAGCCCAGCTGACATGTGCTCTGAAGGGTGGACATGGAGCAGTGGGCACCACCCACACACGGTATAGCCCAGCTGACAACGTGCTCTGAAGGGTGGACACGGAGCAGTGGGCACCACCCACACATGGTATAGCCCAGCTGACAACATGCTCTGAAGGGTGGACATGGAGCAGTGGGCACCACCCACACATGGT